TAAGAGTTGATTAGCAGTGATGAAATGTTTGAAGATATCAAATATTTCGATCGATCTTTTAAAGATATTAAATGATTCACACAACTTTAATTTAACGCTATAACATTTATCTTAGTGGTCCATGATTACATATGAACAATCATTTTCTCCTATTACACTCTTTTTCAGAAATTGCATAGAAACCTTTGTTTTGTTTCTGGCAAATTCTATATATTTTTCTCTTTACTGATGCTCGTATACTTCCGATTGTTACCTTATATTCCCATCTATTTCTAGAAAGAAGTATGATGTTTCTTGAGTTTTAGATGTGAAGATACCTGCAATAACTTTACATATCAACTATTAAGCCAAAAAACAGAGAAAGAGATGAAAACAAACATGTAAAACTTCATATTGCACTATAATATAACTTGTTTTGAAGCTTTCAGCGATCGTCTCCACTCTCTAGTGAACACTAGGGTTTGGGAAAAAAAAGGGGAAATGAATATAGGTGCGAGGTGCCTCACAGGTTAACATATTGGATTTAATCTCCAAATAAAATTGGATTAATTATGGAGTTGGTCATCAGAATATCATATTAATTAATATTTTTAAGATACTTACAAATTGGTCACCAAAATTGATTTAAGAAGATTGGGTTAAACATAAATGAATGAACATAAACGAACATAATCGAACGAACATAAACGAACATAACCGAACGAACATAACCGAACGTTCACGAACGTAAATGAACGAACGAGACCTATGTTCATGTTCGTTCATTTAATTAAACGAACAAAAAATCTTGTTCATGTTCGTTCATTTAATAAATAAACGCACATAAACGAACTTCCCGCCGCACGGTTCATGAACGGTTCGCTGAACGTTCAGTTCATTTACAGGCCTAACGGCAGAGTGAGCAAAATGATTCAATATGTAAAGTTAAGTGAGCAAATTAGAAAAATTGAAAGTTTGATGAGCAAAATAGTAGAGAGAGTAAAGTAGGAACCATGTAATTTACCCTTTTTCTTCTTCTGGAAATCAGAGTGAAATTTTGAAAGAGACCCGATTGGACAAAAGCTTTGTTCATGGCTTATAATAGAATGGATAGGCTAACAACTTATTGACTTTTATTCAATCCTGACCATTGGATTAGTTTCATGAGTCATAGCCATGCATGTATTTTTGTATGTTTATGCTGTGTCAGTGTTAATGTGTTGTTAGAACAAGATTTGTTTAGTAGAAATGAAGTTCTAAAATACTTCTGTTAGAGAATAGTGACACTAAACGAGTGTATATTCTCTAGTTTTGGGGCGAAGGAAAATGGTTGGCAATGTAGTTGGACCCCATATGAGGATACCCCCACCTGGCACATGCCATGCAACTTCAAATCACATGTAACACAAATGCTAGCTATATATATTTCAGCTTGTAACCTAGTTATATATTTCAGCTTGTAACCTAGTTAGCCAGATTGTCGTTTGTGTTGGATTCATGATTCTTGAATTTCCAGAACAGGCCTACATTAATGAAATGATCCGAGGAGTGTGTCCTACATTAATTGTTAGCAAAGTAGTAAATGTTTCTTAACAATACAAAGAGATGAGCCTCTTTTTGTAGCATTGGAGACCCACACAATGACTTTTTTTTTTTAACATAACCCACACAATTAATAACGCTTTCACCATTTGCGGCAGAGTTGGTGGGATTATATAATTGCTTGGCTCTTCCATAAACTAAATTAAAGGCTGCAAAACTAGGTTTTATTTGGTCTTTCAGGCGTCTTATACTGTCGGTTGGGGCTGAATTTGGCACATTGGATGTAGGGTTAATCACTAGATCAGTTGGCAACTTATTCATCAGTATTCAAAACCTAATCCCACCTACTCATTATGTCACTTACAACAAACATTATTTCACCTTTTGATTTTCATTCTTCTTATCTTTTCTTTCAAAATAATTGAATTATATGAATAAAGGTTTTATTAATATGTATCTAATTTTGTTAGGGTGAGCTTGTAATGGAGTTGAAATATTCAAATTAGTTGAAGAGATGAGTCATATTTTATTATTTAAACTTAAAAATTGAGTTCAATTTATAAAATTCTTGTTAAATTGAATCACATATTTGTCTAAATTAATTTTTTAAAAAAAAATAAAATTATTGATAGTCTGATTAAATTTGAAGTAAAGTACAAAAATTGGATAGCATGTATAAAAAACTTATGTAAAGAAAAATAAGGATTATTATCATAAATTAAATTTGATAATCTATTTGTTTACTGATTGAACATGATAAAATTTCAACTAAATTGTGAATTAATTATTATGCAACTTAATTTATTTTTTAATATTTTAGAGTTTCCAATAATTTTATAATTTATTTATAATTCATGGAAAATTTTAATTAATTTATAAATGTATGATTTTTTTAAAAAAAATTAGAAGACTATTAACAGAACTATAACAAATCAACCCAACTTAAACCTGAAAAATCAAACTATTTATTCTAGTTGATTCAAAAATTGATTAACTTATAATATTTTTAAATCTTCCGAGTCAAATTAAATTTTGATTATTCATCTCAAATTAAGTATAATAGCTGTTTCAAATGTTATATGCAAAATATATTTCAGAATATTAACATTTTTTTAAAAAATTTTTATTATGTATGTTTTAACATTTGTCTTTGATATAGAAGTTCTTAATATTATCATCTAAAGGAGGAAGAAAAGAGAAATGGAGGGAATATTTAAAGGATCATGGTTGATTAGTAGAAGCCTTAGAAAATGGCTTAATACCAAAATAAGTGTCCAAACTATACAACTTTTCCCAAATATGAGCCTAAACTAATTTTCGTCTCATCCAGGTGTCTAACGCTACAAAAATTCCCATTTAGATTCTCGGGCCATTAACGAAATTAATTTTTGCTGTTAAGTGACACGTGTCAAAATATGATGATTTTGAAATTTATTTTTTAAAATAAAATGTTAAAAATATTATGGCATTTATAAAAAATAACTTTTCTAATATTATAAAACAACCCCAAAATCCCAAACCCAAACCTTAATCTATCGTCGTCGGCCTTTTCGGCCACGACCACCTCCACCGACGTTGTCCTTGCCATCCTTCTACTCATACATCGTCGTAATTTCCATCGATTGGCCGTTGGAATTACGTGGGATCCGGATTTTAATACTAGGGTTCGGAGGTTTAAAATGTTGCTTCGTCGTCGATAGGCCATCGATCGATCATAATTTTATAAGGTTTTTGGTCGGAAAGGGGATGGGAGGTTGGGTTGAGCTTTGTCGACGGCATCATCTTGGCATCGTCTTTGATTCCGTACATATCACTACAACAAATTTGTCAATTTATGACGAAATTTCTATATGACATTGCATATAACGTCACAAAATATACTATAATGTGACGTTTTTTTTTCTTTTCATCGTATTTATTGATTAATGATATATTTTTTATGACAATTTCAAAAATGGTCATTGATTTCCGTCACTATATGCTTGGCGCCAAAATCTTCCCACCAATATTTTTAGTGGGAAACCTTTTAATGACATTTAGATAAAATAATTACATTGTAAAATCGTCTCCAATGAAAAAAAGGTATTAGTGACAATTTATTATAATGATAATTCGTCATTGACGATTCGATTTCAATTAGTGACGTTGCACATTTCTCACAAATAAGTTTTATTCGTGACAATTTAATTCGTCATATTCTATAAGACATTAAAATGACGCTTTATTTTTGTCACAAAAAATAGTTTTAGCATGACGAAATCAATATTTGTTTCTTATTGCTATCTTTTTTTTATATGACGATTTTAAAAGACATCATGAAATTACGTCACTTAATGTTAAAAAAATAAGATAATCTAAAAACATTATTAAACAATGCAATTTACAGAGATTTTTGTGTTTTTAATTTATTGACATTATTTTGTATTAGATTATCGCACATTAAAATATTTCTTTAGATAAAAACTTAAAATAATAAATCGTAAAAAAGAAATGACTAGATTATTCTTTTTAATATATTATTATATTTCTATGATTTCCATGATGTTACATCAAAGTGTTAAGGAAAAAATTGATATTTAGATTTGATAATAGAAATACCCATAAAGCTCCAATATATTTAGATACATATAACATCAACAATCTTAAAATATAAAATATTACTCTTGTAATAAAAATAAAACAAAGAAAAAATTGTGTGTTACTTATAAGCTTACTCGTAATGGCACAATGAACACAATATTTCGTATTCTACATATTTTATTAAATAATTTAATAAATTATAATAAGCTCAAAATACATTTTATACACTAAAATAGATAAAATATTCTACAATGATTCTTAAAAACATTAATCAAAATTGACCATTCAAAGTATGTTTATCGTTGTATCGACTTTCCAACAATCTTATACAAAATATTAACTAGGTCATAAAAAATATTGTAACATATTGCAACACTTAAAAGTAGCTTGATCATGACAAGATCAATGAAGTTTTTCATGAACACAAGTCGTATTTATGTTCGTATAGAAAAAGTCAATATTTATGTCAAATTATTTTTAATAATTAAAAACAATTTTTTATTATTTTAAATTTATTAATTTTTAATATTTTTTTTGTTTTTTACAATTTTATTTTTATTAAAATATTATAGTGGTATACCTATGTTTAAAATTGGAATTAAATTTTTACCTCCCCATAAAAATTCCCTCCAGGCAAATTCCACATTCCTTATTCATAGCAAGAAATTCTACTTTTTCATAATAAATTATTTATTTCCTTAGTTAAGACTTGCCATTACATAAATAATTTGTATATTCGATTTGATTTTGAGTTAATAAGATTATCAAGTAAATGAAATAAAAATTTGCAAAATATAATCACACAAGTTAACGTCGCAACTAAAACAACAAACCTAAGCGATCAAGGGCCGACGGAGGCATTATAACTGAAACAACAATGAAAAGAGTACATTTTTGGGTTATTTCCTTCATCTTCTTCGCTCTCTCATATCTTTGCTTCACCGATCAAATATACATGCACACATATCCGTCTCTCTCAGGTTCTTTTTTTCCTCTGTTAATTATTATTATAATTTTAATTTCTTTCAATTCTATATTTATATGATTTAATTCATATTCTTTAGATCTGTTCAATTTCCCCTATTGTTTACCTTCTAAAACCCTAAATTCAAATCGTTCTTTCTCTTTTCGGTGGTAAAGGACGGAATTTAACTGATTAGTAACTGAAGGAGGAAAAAGTTTGAATTTTATTCCAAAATACGTTCATTCCCATTCCAAGTTTGAATTTTTGTTGATTTTCTTTGTTGCGCTTTTGATTCTAATGAGAAAGAAATGTGGGGATTGTGCAAATTAGTAATTTTCGTTTCAAGTTCGTTATTAATTTCATTGAATTAGGCTATATTCTTATATTTGGACCCGTCTTATCTTTTCTTGTAGGGAACTTGAGCAATAAGTTACTGGTTTCACCGTTCATAAACAACACAAGATCGTATGTTTTACTCTCTTTCCCCCGCTATTTTGGCTCTAGTTTCGACGAGTGTTTTTGGGGTGATTTGTATTTTGTAGCTTTTCCCGTCCAACTTAGTTGGTAGAGCGCAAGGCTCTTAATCTTGTGGTCGTGGGATCGAGTGGGCAATTCATAATTATGACTGCCGGAGGTCTTCCATAGAAGCTGCTCTCAATCTGGCGTTGGGAACAACCTTACCTCCCCTCACCCCATTACATGAGGGAATAGGGTCAGCTATTTTTTTTTTTTGCTTAATTTAGCTGGTTTTCGATGGATATGGAGTGATTTGTAGGTTTTCTTTGGGTGTCATTTGATTTTTTGTATGACTCAATCTGTAATTTAGAAATTTGGGTTACAATGGATGGATGATGAGTGTACATACTAGTAATTTTTAATTCTCCATGTTGTTTGGTTTTGTAGATTTTCGATGGATATGATTATCATGGGACATCATTTGAGCAGAGTTACCGTTGTTACCCTGCCTCTTTTATTGAAAAGGTTTGAAACAGTGGATTGTTATATTAGATGTTTCAATCTTGATATCTTGTTTTATTTGTCATATATTGGATTGTTATTTATAAGTTCAACTATCCGCATCATTTTTATTTTTTTTTTCCTTCATCGTGATTGTGACTATATATTATTTTTCCTTGTTTCCCTGCAGCCACAAATTGAAAGTGGCGATAAAAGTATGTTTTTAGACCTATGGTTAATGCACTATGTTCCTTTTTCTGTACAAGTTCCTAATATGTACACTTTTCATTGTTGTTTCAGTTATAATGCCTCCGTCGGCCCTTGATCTCTTAGGTCCATGTTATCTTGTTTTAGAGTTATATTATTTTGCAATTTTTTTTTTATTTTGCACCAGATTATAGTAATAGAAGCGGTTCATCAATTTCAATATCCAGTTAATTGGTATATTTTTTTTAATATTTTATTTTAATGTTAAATATAATTGAATTTTTTTTTGTATAGTTTAGATGGTTTCGTCATTTTTATTTTAATCTTTAGCATTTTTACATAGTTGTATTTGCTATGGTTTTAGTTTTAGGGTCTTTTTGTTCTTACCCAAAGTAGTTGCATTTTTATATAATTGAATATTTTATATAGTTGAGATGGTTTCGTTAAACTCAAATGGAGATTATGAAATCTGCTTTGTTAGAATGTCGGAATTCTCGTGCCATCACTTCAATTTTCAGGTAAACAATATTTTAAATAAATAAAATAATTATATAATTTTAACTATTACAATTAATGTGCTAATTATTTTTGCAGCTTCAAATGATACCACAAACTCATCATCAACATATTCGCAGTCGACACAAGATTTAGATCGAGATTCTCACAAAAAGTTATTCCACAAGTCATATTATAGTCATATTATTTTTATTTTCTTTGAACATTTAAGTGTTTTTATATTTATAAAAATGGCATTATTATGTTTTCAAGTGAAATATTCGTATAAATTTTATTATTTTACAATAAGTAAACTATGTTATTTTTTCTTTAGATTAATATAAGTATTTTCATTTTAATATATATTGTCATATTATGGTGACAATCTTTATTTTGTCACTATATTAGAGAAAATTGTATAAGGTGACGCTATGCATAATCATCATTCAAAATACTATTACATAACATTATATTATATCACTCAAAATTTGACAATCTCTCTTTCGTAACATATAGGTTGATTTTATTGTAGTATCTGTGACTATATAAAAATAATAAAAATATTATATAATTTAGTGATGTAACTAATTGTTATGCAATATAAGTTATATACTATTAGGTAACGTTATATTATGTCACTGAAAATGTGATAATATATCTTTCGTCACATATAGATTGATTTTAATGTATTATTCGTGATGATGTGAATTATTAATAACAAAATTTTATATAATTTAATGACGTAACTAGTTGTCATTGAGAATCAATTATAAAGTGACATTATGTATAAACGTCATATATATTGCTAATAGGTGATCATGTATTGCGTCACTATTTGATAAATTTATCTTTCATCACGTATAAAAAATTATTGAGTTGGTGACGATATGGTTTACCAATGACGAAAATGTACATTATTTGGTGACATAATTAATTGTCATTGAATGCAAATTATAATGTGACATTATCCATTAACGTCATTATATGTTTAATAATACGTGAAGAAATCTTATACATCGTCACATTTGACATTTAGTAACACACCTAGGGTGACGTTCACCGTGACGTCAGTTTTTATGTCACAAAATACAAATAGTGACATAAATGTTTGTTTCAGTGACAATATTTCAAATGCCACAAATAATCAAACTTGTTGTGGTGTACTGGGACTCTACCCTTATTGAAGAAATTAATTCATAAGAAATTGATGAAAGAAGTCAATAATATTGTTCTACATGGTCATGGTAAATAATTGAGCACGTTGAAGTATCAACTACCGACGTCGTTAGAACCACTAACGTACTCAATATGCACCGTTCAGGATGATGGTGATGCAGACATGATGATAAATTTCCATATGCAATATTCATTAGGAGGGCCACTTAAGTTGTATGCAAAATTTTCATATGATAATGATGCTACTACTGTCTCAAATTGGAAAACTTGAATCTGCAACCTAGAATGTACAATCCATACAGCAGTGGCGTGGGTACATCATCTTCTCAATAGGAAACGAGGTTACAAGAAGATGAAGCGTTTAACCCGTTCGAAGATTTGCCAATATCTATGGGGAGATATTCTTGTGCTGGTGCTATCGACTGTAATCTTCGTATTACGGTTCGTGAGCATTCTCGTGATTGAAATACAAGTGTTACTCCATCTGCCCCCGTAGTAGAAAATGTTAAACTATTATGGTTTGATAGGGATACTTCCGACGAAGAATCGTTAAGCGAGATTGACCCAGATGGTAACGATATAGGCCCCTTCAATGAAGAACCAGAGGAACTTGACATGCCAGAGGGAGCAAATGATCATGATAGTTTACATATCGCGGCTCATGTTCCTTATTACAAGCCACTATCCTACTTCACAACAATTGAAATGGAACCTTGAAACGCTCTCGAATTTTCAAAATTCCAGTAGCTTAATCAATACAACGAATATAGTGATAGTTAGCTCTATGTTGGGATAATATTCAGAATAAAAGAACTCATTGTGGTTGTAATTAAGAACTATAATATACGTCACTCGGTTACGTCGACTGTGAAAAAACAAACGCGGATAAGTACATGGCATAATGTGTCCACATGTTCAATATAATCGAAGGGTTCATGTATCACACTTGAAAAGGGTTGAGCAACCTATGTAGGCTAACAAATAAGAACAACCTCATACATGTACCGCAAGCAGGCTCACTCAGGATCATCCAAACTTAGATGTTCACATGCTTTGTGATGTCTTCATACCATTGGCTAAAGAAAATGCACGTATTACGATTTTCAGTTGTATTGTTGCAATCACATCTCAGTACGACTACACTGTTAGTTACCATAAAGTATGATACGCTAGGTATCATGTTCAACAAAAAATGTATGACCAATGGGAAAAAATCGTACAAAGAGTTGATGTCATGGCTGAAACTGATGAAGAAATACATATCGGACATGATCGTCAAACTGGAAATTGTGTTGTAGTAGGAAAATGATCGTGTCGTACAAGGTGCATGCCAATTTCACAGGCTATTTTGGATATTTTCGCAGCGTGTTAATGTATTTCAGTACTGTAAACCTATGGTTCAAATCTATGGCACTTGGTTGTACGACAGATACACACAAATATTGTTGTTGGAAGTGGCATAGGACGACAATAGGAAAATAATTCCCATCGTATTCGCAATAGTAGAAAAGAAATATATAGATTCTTGGGAATTCTTCTTTAAGTACTTACATATATGTTCTATCACATGTTTTACAAGAGTGTCCCACTGATATATGTCTTATTTCTTACAGACGCACAAGGATCAAATACATAATTGAACGTATGAGACCGTCTTGTAAGTCTCCCCATATTTATCACCGGTACTGTTTACGCCATATTATCGCAAATTATTTGCAAAAATTTAGGAACGAAGATGAACGCATAATGGTGCTTTGAATGGACATGTCTTTCAATTTATTTGGATTCAAATATCTTTTCATTTATTATTTATAATTAACTGTTGTTCTTTCAATGGGTAACCCACTCGCATTCCACACGTGAGGTTAACGAGCTGTTTGAAGAACTGAGACACAAGAATCAGGAAGGCTACAACTACCTTGCTAAAATCCCGAGGGAGAAATGGTTTCGGTCATTTGATGAGGGCATACGATATCATCACATGACAACGAACTTGACTGAGACAATCAATTCATCACTGAAGGGAGTGCGACATTTGCCTATCACTTCCGTTGTCAAAGCGACATATTATCGTTTGTCAACTATGTTTGCAACCTTGGAAGGTAAACAACTGAGAGGATTGCAGATGGTCACAGAATCAACCTAGACCTCTATAAAAAATTACAAACCTTTCTACAGCACTCAAAGCGAGTATGCATGCGTCTTTCGCAAACAAAATCAATTCGTGTTTCGGAATATTAGGCTATTCGAAGGCATACATCACAACGCATACATTGTCAATCTACGTGAAAGAAAATGCGACTATGAAGTATTCCAAACATTCAAATATCCATGTCCGCATGTCATTGTCGTTTGTTCTTCAGTACGAATTAACTACGTGCAATTCATTGATCACGTGTACTTATTGGAAACCGTATTCAATGTGTATCGGTATGAGTTTCCTCCGATTGGAAACTAAAGGGATCCAGATGTAGTTGATGATGATCCTACAATACGTCAAAATTTCGTACTACAACGCCAAAAAGAGGTCTCGTCCATGCTCAATGAGGATTCACTGTGACGAAGATTTGGTCGTCCATCGAGAAAGAACCGGACAACCAAAGCTTTGTAGTTTTTTTAGCATTTCCTTCATGCACAAAACAAGCGTTGGAACCATTTTCAACTTGAATTTTAACCCACTTGTGATATCTCGTATGTCTCCATAATGGCTTCAACTGAAAGAAAATTTCAAGTAATACGCCTCTAATATTATAAATTACCAAAACTTTGAGATTAAATACCTGAACATGTCCCCCGGACATGCATATCAGCACATGTGATTTGTGCTGGAAAACACGTACCTTGCTCATTGGAAAACGTGAGGTACCTTGAATATCATCGGGATAAATTTCTCAGGACAATTCAATTTTTCGGTGACTATTAAATTGGGTAATCTTAAAGTGCATAGTACCTCACATTCTGTAGAAAGCGAGACCTGTTCACGCGCTGGGTAGGATGCGAGTTAGTCTTACGGGTGCACTTTAAGGGGTATTTTTCTAACAAATCTGTTAGGGGTTGTTCTTAAAAATAATTAATGGGGGTAATAACGCTTTTTTATGCCTATACATATTATTTCTTGTGCACATAATTGTTTTGGGTTTAGGTAAGGGTGGCTTCCTCAGTTCAGGGCCAAGCATACATAAGACCCAATTGGGATTTATATAGGAATTTACATATTACTTACCAAGAGTGGTTGTGATAGGATATAAACTTGGTCTTACATGCTCAAATTCATAAATCTCAATCACTTGTGTCAACACACTTTGGCTTACTCGTCCACGTAATAAGTTAGACTAAAAATCATTTAAAATGTATATGAAAAATAAACATAAAAACAAAAGGATAGACTTGACAATACCTTTCATGTCCATAACTTTTGAAAATTCAACAAGAGAAAGTGGAATGCTAGTTAAATGAAAATGAAAAAGGAAAAAGACTTGCTCAAAGTGGATTTTA